GATAAATACAGAAGCCTCCCAGGACCTCTTCCATGTTATGAAAAACTTCAGTGCCACATTCCAAATGTAAGCAGCCAGCTGTTACTCTGGCAATACAAGTTTTTTGTTTGCTTGTTTTATCTTTTAGTTTTTTAGTGAAAATATCATAAATAAGGACATGTGATATTTCAAAACCGTAACCTCCAAATCAGAAAAAATTATGACCAAATTTTATTAACCTAAAATATTAATACCTGAAGAGTGTTGGAAAATCCTAAAAAGAGGGAATGTATGTGTCAGAAACGAGCAGATGTTGGAGAGTTCTCATTAACTTGGCAGGAATTCAAGGCTGCTCAAATCCATTTTATTTATTTATTAATAGCTCTTGCCTTTCACATTTTGTCTTGTTAAGTTACTATAAACTACTATACTTTAACTCTAGTCGGTTTGGCTCAGTGGATAGAGCATCAGCCTATGGACCAAAGGGTCCTGGGTTCAACTCCGGTCAAGGACACTTACCTGGGTTGCAGGCTCCTCTCTGGCCCAGGCTCTGGTTGGGTGTTTGCAGGAAGCAACCAATTGATGTGTTCCTTTCACATCAATGTTTCTTTCTCTCTCTCCCTCTCTATTTTATTCTCCCTAAAAATCAATGGAAAAATATCATCGGGTGAGGATTAACTAAGAAATAAAAATATAAACAACTATGCTTTTGTATTGAATGGTATCATCTATGTATATAAAGAGCCAGGGGCCATCACATCCAAAAAAACCCAATGGACAACCAAACAGGCTAAGTGGGGTGACAAGGCCAGCAGGGGGATTAGTGAGAGATGACCAAATGACTGAGCAGCAGGCTGCGAAGGGCGACCAGGCTGGCAGGAGGGTCAGTTAGGGGTCCCAGAGGGGTCACAGATTGGAAAGGGTGCAGGCTGGGCTGAGGGCCGCCCCCCGCCCCCCCACCATGCACGAATTTTGTGCACTGGGCCTGTAGTGGTATATAAAGGGCCTAAGGGAAAGCAGGTGAGTTTATTTTGTTTAATATAAGAAGGAAAGACTTACTGCTCCAAACTTGCTCTTTTTTAGTGGATATTAGAAAACAAAACAAAAATTTGGCTTTGAGGTTCAACAAGCCTGGTTTCAGCCCCAGCCACAACTGGGTGAACTTGTTCAAGTTCTCATTCTTGGGTTTTCCTTTTCATCTGTAAAATTTTAATGATGTTGATGTTGTTATGCCCAGATTTCAGGATCCCCAAAAGCCCACCAGGGAGCCAGCTGAGTTCGATGCAAAAGCAAAGAGTCTTTATTCGAGCTAGCTTGGCTCCCCAACCACACTCACCAACACAGCGGCAAGCGGCCGAGAGAGCTAGCTCTGTGTGGAGAGGGGTTTTATAGGGGTGTTGTAGTAAGGGGAGGAGAGAGGACTATGGACCCTGCCGATTGGCCGGGCACAAGTTGGCATCTTGTTACACAGGATGTGGTCATATCTATGGCACGCACTTCCCTTGATTATCATTGGTTAGTTTAAAGAAATCCTAGGTGTGGCTAGCAGAGGCTTGGGCTTCTGGGAAGAAGCTCCTTGCCAAGCACATGGCTAAGGCTGCTGCCCAAAAATGGAGGATCCGGGGCAAGATGGAGGGCATAGCCCCCGTCCTGGGGCAAGATGGAGGGTGTAGCCCTCGCCCTTTCAATGTAAGTACCACAAAGTAGTGTACTTTGAATGACAGGACTTACCTGTTGAATGATGACTGAATTATTTTATAATAATAGGCTTTATTTAATGTTTCTGTAAAATTTCATGGTTATTATATTAAAGCTAGGGGCCCAGTGCACGAAATTCGTGCACTGGGTGTGTGTGTGGGGGGGGAGTGTCCCTCAGCCCAGCCTGCTCCCTCTCACATACTGGGAGCCCTCAGGCGTTGACCCCCATCACCCTCCAATCGCAGGATCGGCCCCTTGCCCAGGCCTGACGCCTCTGACAGAGGTGTCAGGCC